GATGGCGTAAGCGAGCGCCAGTTGGGTGCCGAGACCTAGTATCGTCATCAGTCATGCCGCTTCCATGAGACAGGTCGGAAAGGGAGTAACTTACTGGCCTCAGTCTTGTTCCTCTGCTCGGCCTCCGCGACGCCCCAGCCAACTACTTGGACCTGCTCGCCGCCATCAGACTGCCCTTGCCCGCCCTCTTTCAGCGCTGTCCGGTATTCATTCCATCTGTTGCGTACCGAGTCTGGTATCACCTTTGCAGCGTGTGACACCACCCAATGTTCGAGCTCGCCTTGATATAATTGAGTCAGCGCCGGCTCTCTGCTTACAATTTGTAGTTCTCACCTATCCTGTCCGTGCCGACGACGCGGACCAGCAGGAAGCAGAATGGGAAGTCGAGGACACTCAAGCTAAAATACACGCCCACGGCGGCCCAACCATACTCCCTAGATAGCTTCTTGAGCCTCGCCGAAAGGCCTTGTGGTTCTTGTGTATTCGCCTTGCTCGGATCGGGTTTCGAATCTCGCAACCGCGAGGTCTTGTGGAACGATCGCTTGTTTGTTCGCAGGGGGGATTGGTAGGATTTGTTGACCGGGTTTGAGATTCTCGGTCTGTAATTGATTTTTTGGGCGACCCTCGAGATCGGGAACTCTAGACTCGACCGTGATATCGAAGCAAATGTCCGGCGCAACGGTTGTGCTTCTAAGCCGAGCGCATTCTGTAGACCGACGGCATTTCCGGATGGCTGCAGAAGTGGGCGAAGAGTGCGAAAGTAAGCCCGTATCATCGTGTTTTCCCCTTTCCCTCCAAAACAGTCGAGTCGTGGTTCGCAGTCGAATGTCCGGCGTGCTCAGGAGAAGCTGGGGGGTTGTTGGTAGTTATGTCAGGAAATTTCGGGTGTCAGCGCATTTATAGCCGTAGAATTAGCGCGTGACCACCGAAAGTACTAAAAAAAAAGCTCGGGTTCAAGCTAATCCACAAAGTTTACAAGTGCCAAAGAAATGAATTGATATACTCTGACAAATTATCGTAAGTCGCACGGATAGGCGTAGTTGCAGCTGAGTTGCGTAGATTGGAATAAGAGCGGTGACGCGACGATAAGGCCGCTGATGATGATGATGATGATGATGGCTGAGAATTCTGCGCCAAAATTTGGAAAGCTCGCCAGTTAGCATCGGCCTGCACGGTGATGCAACCGCGGGCAGGACGGTGTTTGCAGGGGCCGACGGGCCTGTGGGCTTTGCTAACGCCGACTCTGATTGCCCTTAAATCCGCACCTCTTCCCAAGCAGTCTGTGTCACGATGTGAATGTCACAAGACATTGAAAAGATTAAGGAGTTATACCTAGGTATAAACACCTATACACACACACATATGTATAAGCATGACTTGAATGAATTTTGTGATTCTCGAATAGAAAATGGCTCGAAGGAATACTCATCGTACTAGTTGTTAATGTGCCCAAAAGAAAGATGAGTCGACTTTATAGCATCAACTCTCATGCCCTCAGTGTGGCCACGAATTAACCTAGAGAAACTGTCATTATTATTCACATTACATTCCCGTACTTAGCCTCACCCTATATTATAGTTCAACGTATCGCTTGGATATACAGTAGTAAAATTGTAATGATTCTGGAACTCCAGGTGCTAACTCTGGCAGCAGGAGAAAGACGAGCAGGCAGAAGGCCGCTATTCTGGTTTACATAGGTAGGTTTCCCAGTCAAAGGAATTTGCGTGGATGCCGAGGGTAGCTCACTCGTGCATTATCAAGAGGACGTCGAGTTTTGATATCGGCATCGTCCAAGATGCGATCGACTGGGAGACGACGGCATGCGACGAGGAGTCGGATCAGAGGCAACCCGACCTCCTCGGAGGAATTCGTCGCTCCTACAGACCCATACACCGTGATAGCACTATCATATTGTATTTGAACCACTGTACGCAAACAACGGCAAAGTCGATTATGAAATGCGAACTTGCGATATTTTGCGAAGTCATCATCTTTAAGCCAATCTTACCATTCCGTCATGTTTTCCTTTGGTTGATGAACAGGAACAGGAACATGAACAGGCTCCTTACACTCGGTCCGAACAGTCCGAATGTCGCGGTAGGTACTTATCAGTCAAGACTCAGCCCACTATGGCACGGTCGGGCGGTGTTTTACCCCTCTAACTGTGCCCCTCCTGCGCTTCCGAGAACTCCTAACCTTAAACCTGTAGCTCCTTATGCTAGGTATGCAGCTAAGCGCCAGCAATCGCAAATGCCCAAGTGTTACACCGCATGGACTCGGTAGTGCTGACTCCCTATTCGCAAGACCCTGAAGATCTTCAGAATTAGGAAGCAGGAAACAAAGTTGCATATTATGGTCATCTTGAGGGTCGTTCAGTGATATGGATCGGCAGCTCCCTATCCTGGTTTGTAGGATGAGGTGACATCGCATGTCATGAAGGTAGGCGCAGTAAGCTACACCATCCACTATTAGTGATTAGAGCTGCCGCATTGAAGATGCGGCATCCAATCCCTTGCCGGCATCATGTCAGCTTAGCTTACTAGTAAACAGCGTCTCCCTTAATATTCAAGTCGCAGATTCCCCCTAGCCTAGATTTCCCAGTCCTTTTCCTCCTATTTTCATGTAAATCTCTCGAATCAGTGCCAATCGTGATCATTAAAACACCTCGCTAGGAAAAATGAGTGAATCGTATGACTACATCGTTGTTGGTGGCGGTACATCAGGGCTCGTGGTGGGAGCCCGACTCACTGAGGATGCCGATGTTCGCGTTCTGGTCATCGAGGCTGGAGCCGACAAGAGAAAAGACCCTTCTCTGGAAACCCCGGGTCTTGTCGCTGGCGCCTACGCCGACGATCGCTTCATCTGGCCATTCCGGTCAACGGCGCAAGTACGGAATCCTTTACTATCGAAAACCGCCAGTAGTTATGCAGCTGGGATTACTGACATGTTTATGGTTATTAGACCGAGTTGAATGGCCGCCATCTTCGGCAGGATACCGGCAAGGTCCTGGGTGGCAGTTCATTGACCAATTTCATGATGGCCATGTTTCCCTCGAGGACGAACCTAGACACATGGGGCAAGATGGGTAACAAAGGATGGACTTTCGACGATCTCGCTCCTTACTTCCAGAAGTTTTCCACGTCACATCCCCCGAGTCAGGCAATCCGGGAGACACTCGGAGGTCTCGCCTACTACCAGGAAGATATGACGGGTAGCGGCCCCGTGCAACTCTCCTTCGACGACCAGTATTCAGTCATGAATGAGAAATGGTTCAAGACCTTCGCCGAACTAGGACTAGAGATGAAGACGGATCCCAGAACTGGCAGGGCTATTGGCGCGTTCCAGAACTCATCAACCATCGAAAGTGGGACGAATATTCGCAGTTCGTCAGTCACAGCATACTACACGGAGGAGATCGCTAAACGACCGAACCTCAAGGTGCTGATGGAAACAACGGTACAGAAAATTACCACAGAGACTCGGGATGGTCTGGTCATTGCAACAGGCGTAGAGGTGAAGGACAAGGATGGCAAAGTCACGACTCTTAAGGCCAACAAAGAAGTGGTTCTAGCCGCAGGAACTATCAGGACACCACAACTACTAGAATTATCCGGCATCGGCGACCGGGACCTGCTCGAAAGCCTCGGAATCGATGTCTTGATCGACAACCCCAACGTTGGCGAGCATATGCAGGATCATCTCATGACTTCACAGCAATTCCCAGTGAAGAAGGGATACCCGTCCGCCGACGGGCTTCGTGATCCTTCCAAGTTCAAAAGCGCCTTCGAGCAGTATGCGTCGACAAAGCAGGGTCCGTTGGCCGGTATGGGAACCAGCGTCGCTTACGTACCACTGGCGGACCGCAACGGTGTGATGACCCAGGCCGACCGCAAGGCCCTCTTCGACAAGTATCTTACCAGCGGGCCCGCGCTGAACCCCGTGCAAAAGCGCGAGTTCAAGCTGATCCGCGAGCTTCTCGAGACCGAGACCGAACCCGCCATCCAATACCTGTGCTTCCCGGGGTCCCTTACCGTGACTCCCCATCCGGACACGCTGACGGACATGTTCACGTCTCATGCGCCGTACGACTGCATCGGCATCCTATCTCTGCTCAACCACCCCTTCTCCCGAGGAAACGTGCACATCTCCTCCAAGGACGTGTCGGTCCCGCCAACCTGGAACCCCAACTACTGCACCCATCCGCTGGACCTCGAGATCCTGGCACGCACGGTCGGCTTCGTCGAGAAGATAGTCAACACGGCGCCCTACAAGGACATGATCGACACAGAACTGAAGCGTCTGCCCGACGCGACGGGCGACGACCTGGAGGTGGCGAAGGAGATCGTGCGTGGACGGACGGTGTCCTGCTTCCACATCGCGGGCACCGCACGCATGCTGCCGAGGGAGCTGGGCGGCGTCGTCGACGAGCGCCTGATCGTACACGGAACGTCTAACATCCGCGTTGTCGACGCCAGCATGATCCCCCTAGAGCCGCTCGGTAACATCCAGACGACGGTGTACGCCGTCGCCGAGAGGGCTGCGGACTTGATCAAGGAAAGTAGAAAGACCGGAACAACCACACTTCCTATACGCTAGACAAAATGATGGATCTACAAAGAGATGAAATGACGAATAGATGCCGTATATAAAATAAATAGGAACGCGAAATTTTCATGATAATTATGACCTGTCTGCTTGCCTTGTCATTTTCCGTACCTGAACATAATCACCCAGGATTTCGCTCAAGAGCTCATGATGCTTTCGTGACCATTGTCCGTGACCATTGTCCTCGCCGCAATTAACACTGTTGATGCGAAAACGTGTACCCACTTCGGTAACGCTTAGTAGGCGTTAAAAATCCAACTCGGGTTAAAATCCTAACTTACTTAAAAAGCTGAATTAATTGAATTACATTAAAATATTATATTTAAAACAGTTATAATAAAGTAAATAAATAATAAAATAATAATAATATTTATATATATAAAAAAGATTTTCTTTGCTGCGGACGAGGTTCGAACTCGCGCGACTTTCGTCATGGGTGAAATGCAATGCCGTAAGACGGTTAATTTAACTTAAAACCCACACCTTAACCACTCGGTCACCGCAGCAGGGACTCTCGGAGCTGATAATTGCTCGATTGGCGGAAACTAGGAGTAATGTCCCATATATACCCCTCGCACGAACCCCTGGCAGGCCCCCTTATAAAGGGCCCTTCGCGCCACGGATTCGCGTGAAGGATTTCCTCCTCCCCTCAATTTCTCACCTCCCACGAAGGGGGTGGTTTTTGGTCGTGGTCGGTGGTTTTTTGATCCCGCCCGCCGTCCCTCGGATTTAGGACCTAGACGTGGCCGGCTACAACAGCGTACGACGTGCGACGACAGCGCGCCAACCAGGCCTCGTAGAGGCTCATACTCCCCCCAAATATATGCGTTCAAACTTGGAATCCTTGTGTGCAAAACCTGTTGAGTGAATAGATGTACAACGAACACCGCTACTTTATTTTCTACGCCTCTTCTGCCCTAACCCCTCCTTATCTTCATAGTTGGAGCTGGCATCGTCCGAGTTGTCTAAGTTGTCCGACTCGTCCGACTCGTCCGAATCATCCAACTCGCTCTCACTAAATATAAGCATATTAATGTCATTGATAAGTTCGGCAGCCTCAATCAACCTGGGCAAGCTCTTCCAATTCCCCATTGTCCAACCCAGCGTCCTCGCTTCCCTCTAAGTCTGCTATGTTAGAGCAAACTCCTTCAGCTTCACCTCGTAAATCAAGGTTGAGAGAGGCCCGGTCCACGTCCCCCGGTAAATTAGGGTTAATAGAGGCCCAGTCTACGTCCCCCGGAGGCCAAATATACTCGTCGTCCTCACGCAAGCACTCGAGGAGCTGGGCAATTTCAGGCCAAAGGTCTTCCGGGAAATCTGAAATCCCAAAATTCCAAGCCCGGGTATCCAGGGATATATTACACTGGCTTATTTGGTCTCGAGCCTGGTTTTGTGGCCGCTGCTGTCCGCCGAATCCGGCCGTCATTGGAGCATTGTGGTGCCTGTGGGCTACGCTCGCCGAGTTCGCAGCACGGATCCATGGCACCGCACAGATTCCCAGCCCGTCCCGCGGGATAGGCGGTCTTGCGGGGATGCCCAGGTCCTTTGCCTACGCCACGTTCAAAGTTAGCGCTGCCGCCGCTGGGGGGAACTCGAAGACAAGACTGACTCACTTACGCGTGCCGCACGGAGCCGCTCGGTTTCGGACTTAGTAGAGGTATATGTCCCGGGGCTGATAGTAGCCCCTGAAATCATAGACCAGCAGGCGTCTAGCAAATGCTGCCAGCGCAAAATATAGGTAAGCACCTAATACCTGCTTGCTAGTGGTATAAAGGTATATATATCTTGTGAGTTCTAACTATCCCCCTTACCTTGAACCGAGATAACCGTAATGGGCTGGCAAGATACTCCCCCTAACTTTAGCATATCTCTCGGCAATTGCTCGAAGGCTCTGCTCTTAATGGAGGTAAAATAGTCTGCACCGGACAGGATCGAACTATACCAAGTCACGGGGGGCTGCATAATAGCTATAGCTAGCACAATAGTTGAACAACTGCTGGGCTTGTAACCACATGGAACCGTAGAATAAGTAGAAGTGCTGCCATTCAACCCAACTACTCAGACAGCTCTGGAAGTGAGCTTGTAATCTTATTGATCAACTACATACAAAGAGCTTCGATACCTTTGTATGTACTGCATCTAGGCAGAAATACATAGACAAAGGCAGATGCACCGTCATTGACCAGAACCATCTCTCCACATTCCTCAGTGCCACCTGTAGGCGACAAAGCTTCCATACGCAGCATCAGCCATTCGGAGACGGGTATTCCGGTATCGTATATGCCAGAACAGAACACTACATGATGAACCACCTAGCATTGACCTTCATAGACTTCGACTGATCTCAAGGTCTGGTGACTGGGAGACAGTGAAGATGGTAGGGGAATAATTTAGTGATGCACCGCTGGCCACAGGTGATCGCGAAGTATGGGACCTGATATCTAAAATCATAATGTCTGCTTTCTAGGCTCGGCTGTTCAGGTACGCAATCACACTCAGTCCTTTAAGGACCACGGATGTAAGCCCACGCTACATTAGAGTCAAACTACCTAATAGTAGACCCCTGCATAAGATAAAGCATGCAATGCAGAATTGTCGAATTGAGGGCGCTATAATCGCTGGCAAGCACGTCAGGTATCCGGCGGCAGCTCTAGATATTTAGTTCAATTGGTCTAAAGACCGCGACAGGTTTCTCGAGCAGTTAGGTACCTTAGGCGTCTGGGCTGGGAGTAGACATCTAATAGGTAACCGTAGGAAAGGTGGAAAGCGATGTTAAGCGTTGCGTTTCCAAAAACCACAGAACGTAGTTAATGTATTACCTTCCGTGTGAGATCGCGATAGATGTATCACAAAAGGACGTCTCTTGTATACTGTTGCTTTATTATATCTCTACATAACCGAGCCGGGCAAGCAAAATGGGCTAATTCCCCCAACGTCTAAGCGCGGCAGTATCTTCAAAGCCGAAACAACGGGATAGGTTTGCTTGCTAATACCGCTTCGTGTCCAAAAACCTCGGTCTCGTTCCATCATTACCTCCGTCCCATCCATTTACATGATATTTTTGGTAAGAAACGCCGCACCTTTATCGGCCAATCGCTCCGAGAAACATAACAGAGCGGCCTCGCTCAGTCCTATCACATCCATTATCCTACACAGTACAAGAATAACAAGCAGCATGTTATAGCCGAGCGACCAGCGGAACGACCAGCCGTCTCCTTCATTAGTATCGTGAGTCCCAGTCCCAAGCTTGCCTGGACTCGTTGTATTGGGTATTTTTATTTGCATAGTCGGCGTCATCGTCACGGAACTACACGCCGATCTGCGACATGCTCGGACCGCGGACGGAGCCGCCGCCCCGCCGGAATTCCTTGAATGCAAGCACCAAGGTGGCAGTGAACGTGGCGAACAGGAACCACATGAAGACGAGGCTGGCTTGAACCTCACGACAGCGCTTCTCCGTGTCGGCGGAGCCGAAGGCGATCCAGTCGGACGGTCTCGTGCCCTGCGAGTACACAGCACCTATCAGTAACAGATCAATTATGCGCGTTGAGGATCGCTCTTATACTCACCTGGTGGGCGCAGTTGACGGTAGTTAGCTTTGCTGACAGCACAATTGCGCCGATGAAGGTGAACAGGGTGGCGAGCCCGTCTAAGGCAAGGGCGATTATGGGCATGGCGGCGGCGGAGACGAAGTGTGCGATCAGACTGTAGATTACGGCGATCCATGACAGGACGCACACGAAGATGGCGAAGTTGATGGCGGCCGTGGCTGATGCAGCGGCGTGTTGCGCTGTCGCGCTGACATTGCCGAGAAGGGCGGTCGCGATGAGGACGAGGAAGAACTGCGCTATGCGCAGAATTGAGTTGATTAAGCTCCTCATGATGAAGACTCAGGCGAATAAATGTATTCGCTAGTTCGATCGTTGAGGTGTTATTATCGCCGGGTTGCGTGTATGGTAGTTAGGTTCGTGGGATCTCGATCGTAGCAATAGGCGAGAGGAATGCTGGACAGGAGTCGATAGGTTGTAAACAGTCGCACGGGTCGAGGGCGAGAGGGTATCACAATAAGGTGTTGAGCTGTTGCTAAGCACGTTTCTTCTGTTGATTATTTTCGGTATTATAAGCGGCGGAGGCGGTTCAGGGACCAGGGTCGCAGGAGCAAGCTGCCTTAACTCGGACAGGTAGGTAGGTAAGCACTGCAATAACTGGATATAGTGGTCTATTGTGACAGTGCAACGCAATGCGGGCGAAGAATAGCAGATCTTGTTTATGGACAGTGGAAATACGTTGTGTAGATAGATACTAAGTAGATAGTCTGATCTCGGATTAGGTTCTCGTCGCATCCGGGAGATAGACAGAGACCATCTTTTTGTTCAGCAAGTGCCCCAAGTCAATCTCGGGCAGGGACTCGACGAATGAGGTCATAGGCCATTTTGGGCATAGTATGGCGCTTCTACGAGGAGGGGTTGCTAGGGACACGGAGTGGATGCCGCGAGAGCACCAATCACCAAGAGGATCGTTGCTATGGCACGCATTAGCGGCTACATGGTGCGGTTCTACCCGGAGGTCTACACCATTATCGACGGCTTAGCGGCTTCTAATTGTAGATGCCTTCGATGGGATTCAACAGCGTACGATCCCGGAGGCGATGGAGGAAAGATCTACTATATTATACAACAACAAAAGATAGCCCATGAAACCAAGAAGGCGTAATCTACGTTAAGAATTAACCGTGTCTTCTAAGTTGGCCTAAAAGCCAACAGTAAATAGCAAGGTGTAGCTGGATTATAGGTGTAATACAGTAAGCACTTTAATAGCCAGCTTCAACTGGGATGGAAGCCCCGGTGGATTGCGGGAAGGCGGACCTCTAACTAGTTTCTGCTCTAGTGTACTCTGTACCAGCGTCTTAGACAGCAGCGATGGCGGAAGAGCGGGGCGAGCAATGGTAAACTTGCCCCAATGATGGACACACTTGTCTCGATGAATGACCATACTATAGCCTGTATATTCGATGCTGCAAGGTCTATCATCAGCCTATGCGCGCTATTCAACGAGGTCCCAGCGTGACAGTCCTACCGAGATAATCTTCTGGCGACCCAGCTAAGATAGAATGGCCCTCGTCGACATATGTCTGGACGATATAGTACAGGCGAGTGACAGAGGCAACAGTGGCCCTTGGTGTTCAATTCAGAAACTGCATGTGATCCCTTGAGAATGGCCGTTTACTTACAACGCACCAAGCAGGAACATGCCTAGGATGAGGATTTTTCTTCTAAGCTCCATACGGAGGCCCAACAACACCGGGATAGGAAGGGTCACGATGACGGCATCGAGTGCGATGTCGATTGATGCCGCACTAACCCACATCGAACCGTCATTCCATCGAAGTGGCGCAAATTGACCCCCCGAACCTGGCTTGTACGTAGGGTTCCGTATGAAAAGCTCGAGCTTCACGAGATCGAAATACTCAGGTAATTAGCCAACACGCTTAGAATTTAAGCGACAA